TCCAAAAAAGAAGAGAACTAAGAGATGGGTGCCGATTGTGAATTGGTGGGTTAACTCCTTGATCTCTTTGGGACCTGGAAATGGACAGATCAGTAGCTTCCATCTTCACCAGAACATCGTGGTTAACGTTCAGCCGAGGTTTGCATGCTTTCATTGTGACCGACCCCTTGCCCTCGCTGTCTGGTTTGAAGCCTGCTTATTTCGTACACTTTTACTCCTCACTTGTTTCCCTACTGAGTTTCCAAACTAACCTCCTTTTCCCCTGGCAGTGCAGGTGAAGCTTCCAGCAGCTGGTGCTTAACATCACTGTAGAGTCACGGTGTTAAATGCTGTAGGAACTGCCAAGGGTCTCCGCAGAGCCTGGTCCTGCTGAAGCCCTGCGCTGTCAGATGGGGCCAGGCTTGGGAAGTTGGCTCCGCAGCCAGAGCAAAAGCAGAGCTGGCCCAGTTTCATTCCAGCACTGCCTGCTCTTCCCTTCACACTAAGCACACTCTTCCCTCTGCTTTCCTAGGCCTCTACCACCAGTCAGTTCATAACAGGCTGTGTTGCCTTTGCCTTCTAAATGACCCTCCTGGAGTCTAGGGCATCCTGCACTTCATTTGCAGTCGCTTCTCTGCAGATGACCTGACAGGCTGGTCTGTGCCTGAATGCAAACGGTCCAATTGGGTAACTTGATCTTGTCCATTTTCTGCTTCCAAACTGCATAGGGAGCTCTAAATTGTGTCTTGATTTTTAGAGACCGTAAGGACTCAGCTGTGTCTCAGATGACTGGAACAATTGATGTTGGCTCTGTGCTTTATTAATGTTGGGCTCCCAGCTGGTATTGTTAAGGCTAAAGTTCACCCTCGTGTTTGTGTTTCCAAGGGCTGCAGTGTTGAGCCAGACTTTAGCAGGATGGGAACAGACCAAGCCCCTTAATGCTTGCTTTTTGGTGTGTGCTGGGTAGGGGCTGCAGCTGGGGGAGTGACTTGCAAGAACCAGGCCTGTAAGCACTTCCCAGGAGCCTGGGCTGGCTCCTCTCTGGCGTGCTGCTCAGGGGAGGTTATTGCTGTAGGTGACAAACAGCCCAGCTCTGCCAAGCCTCTTGGCCTGGGCATCTCGAGCAGTTGAAATAGTGCTTTCCATCCTCCTCTTGCTAGCTCGGTAGGTACCCACTCGAACCAGCTCTCAGCTCGTGATGCAGTGCTGCGGCAGGGCTCGACTCTTCTTCCTCTGAAACTGCAAGTCATCGGACTCTTGGGCTCTCTTCCAACGCTGAGGGCTCAGGAGCTGCCTGGGATGCTCCTCCCAGGCCAGAACTCCAGTTTCTCCTTCCTTTCTTCCGTGCATTTGGCAATGGAGCTGTGCAGAGCCCTGAGCCCAGTGCTGTGAGCACTTACCCTGGGTGGTGCTTCCCCTTCCTGCTGGACCGTTTGCAGCCCAGAGCAGGCTGAGATGCAGCTTGTGGCTGCCTCGAGGCTGTGCCGTGGGCTGGGGGTGCTGCAGGCTTTTAGGCTTCGTTTTGGATTCAAAAAGGTAAACGTGAGGGCACCAAGAAGAGCTGCCTGTTGTGGCAGACCCTTGCTACTGGGAGTCCTGCTTACCCAGCCCCCAAGGAGGGGGTGAAGGACCCCATATGCTGAAGAGCATCACTAGGCAGGGCTGGGGCTTCTGTGCAGGTGAGGAGGGTCCAGCTCCATCCTCCTGTCAGTGTTGTTTTGCAGGTGCTTAGACCCTAGTTCTTTAGCAGAGCACAGGCACAGCCTCTGGGGACCTTGCCCTGGCTCTGCTGCTGCTGAGCCAATACACTGAGACCAAATGAAAGCTGCTGTTCAGTTAAAGCTCCATCGCCTGCAGATTTGGGTGTCACATGGATTTGTCTCTACCAGAATTCATCCTTAAGGTTATGGCCAGTGCTCCAAGCCGTGCAGTCACTCACCTAACAAAGGGAGGGCTTTGGCCTTGAGGAGCTTCCTTGGGTGCATCCTGACCCTTAGGGGAGAGTCCTTGGCTGCAGGCTTGCTGCTCCGAGCAGGACCAGCTCAGAAAGCTGCTCTGGCAGGGCTCCATTTGCACCCCAGCCAAATGTGATCTGTGGTACCCCCCTTGCCTGAGGACCCCAGCTTCCCCACTTTGTACCCGCTGCCCACCATCATGGGGGCAGGACAGGAGCTGGGGTGGGAAGGCTTCACGGGGTTTGTTTGGCCTCTGCCATGGTGGGAGCACCTGGCACATGAAGCGTTAAACCAACCCCATTCCCTTGGAGCCCAGAGGAGGCTGGGGCCTGCCACCCATCCTTGTCAGTCCCTCTCCTGCGCTCCCGACGTGAACTTCACCGACGTGGTCTAATGAAACAAGCACAAGTTTGAGCCTTTCTGAATCCAGAATCCTGCTGCTTCTCCTTTCAGCCTGCCCTCTCGTGCCAGTTCACATTCGGTCCAGCAGAGCCTAATGCTGCTTTACCGGCTCTGACAACAGGAGGACTGTCTAAATTGCTAGAATGGGAAGTCTGGACCCGTTCCTCTGAGAACCCAGACTTCACCTTGATGCTCACACGCAGCACAGCCCTGCCACCTTCAGGTTCTGCACACTTGGAAAGGGGACCACTCTCCCACTGTCTGTCCCAGCACCATCCTCTCCTCGCTTTACTCTCGGCCAAGCGTGTGCTCAGTGCCTTACTTGGATGCTCTTGGATCAGGCAGCATAGAAAGGCTCTCGCAGGCTGTCCCTCCCCATGCAGCTTCCCATAGGACACCTCTGCCGTGCTGCCTGCTGCTCCACCTCAGAAAACAGTATCTCGGTGCCTTCTTCTACATGCCTGTAAGGACTAGGAAGTCACTGGAGCCTTTTCCATGCTGGCCTTTCAAAGTATTGCCAAAAACCCGCTGTGACTTTTGCTAGCTCTCTTTTGTGAACACTAGTGATGTAGTCTGACTTGCCGTGGACGAGGCGCTCCCTTTTGGGGTGTTACAGCCCTCCCAGCCTGGGGTCCTGTGCTCCCCAGCCCAGAAGAGCTCCGTCGAGCCCTTGCCTCCCCCAGGGCAGCTGCTCGGCTTTAGGCAGTCCTTGAGCAAGGCTTTATCTGCTGCCTTGGAATCAATTCCAGCTCCCGACTCCCTTCCTGTAGCTGCTCATGTGTTCTCCCTGCACATTCCTGAAGCCCTTATCGGGGCCAGAGAGCTGAGCAGTTACTATTGGTTTGTGTTTAGCGCTGTCTGTTTCATGTCCCTTGGTAGCACCAGTGTTTTTCTACAGAAAGCCAGGATTAAGTGTAACCTTGCTCTCCACCGCCTCACTCACACTGCTCCCCTCGATGGGTTGGGTTTGTTTGGGGTTTTGGTTTTTTTTACCTTATTTTTTTTAATGGATATTTTATGGGCTAAGAAGTATAGACCCGATGTACAACAACTCCAAGTGTCTTAACTCCATGTTAACCAGCAGGTTTGTGTATAAGGACCAAAGCAAAAACCAAACGAAACCCCAGGATCCAGAATCATTCCGTTCACTGTTAACTGCTTAGGGCAGAGTGAGGAGACAGGAGCTTCCTGTGCTCAGCGGCAGGGTGCCATTCCAGCTCCAACAAGTGCCATTTAGTGTTTCTGTTGCTGATTGCCTGATCCAAAGGTTGTGGTGAGGGGTCCGAGCGAGCAGCTCATGGCAGGAGCAGCGTGCCCAGCCCTGTCCGCTGTGGCTGCTCAGTGCAGGGGTGCCTGTGCAGAGCCATTTACTGCAGGCGCCTTCCCAGGCTGCTCTGGGACAAAATGCAACCCCTTTGCTATCACCAGGCTGCTTCTGTCGTGTTTCTGACTCTGGATTCTCTTGAGCTCGCCTGCGTTGCAGCTTCTGTTTGCATAGAGGAGCATGATCCCTGCAGATACGTTTGAGCTGGAGGAAGGAGTTCAGCTGCACCGCTTTGGGCAATGGTATTAAACTAGAATGGGTTGAGCAGGGAGAAGTAAGAAGCGCTGTGGGCCTCAGGCTTTGACTGGTGCAGGATCTTGGCCCGCTTACAGCTGCTGTCAGAGGTGTGAAGCCACACTGTTGTCTAATGAAGGCTCCAGTGTGCCAAGCCCTGGTGATGGCAAAGGGGACCGGCGAGTATTACGCGAGCGTGATGTAAAATGCATTAGACTGAGCCTCTCGCAGCATCCAGTGTGGTCTGTGCTGTCCGAGTTGTGTTGGTTTGGAGTGTGACATGAGTGAAACTCATCCTACAGCCACGTGGCAAATCTTTGTATTCCGCTTTGTGCGTGTAACCAAGGTGGACAGAAAGCAAGTGTGCCAATGCTGTTTACATGACCATGCTGTGTAATGCTCTTCTGTCTGATGTTACCATATGCCTTATGTGTTTCAGATGTTAATTAAAAGCATAACAACCCACCCTGCCCGTGATCTGCTGCTGTTGGAATGAACCCTCTGCCCCAGCTCTGCCTCTTCCTTCCCCAGGCAGGCAGTGGGTGGATGCAGTCAGTTTACTTCCCAAGGGAGAGAACACACCTCTCCTCTCAAGGACTGCTCCCTGGTTACTCCACTGTCGCAGTGATGCTCTAACACCCTGGACTAGAGGGCACCTGTGTGTGTGTGTGGCAAGCCATTAGCTGCTCTCTGCCCTTCACTCTGTGCCTGGGCGTCTCTGTAGCCAGCTGAGATTGAAGCAGGTGCCTGGGGTGATAACAAGGTGTGACCAACCCCTAAAACTGTGGGGATAAACGTTGTTTATTGTGTGCCTGCAGGTACAGGCTCTGTGGTCCCATGGAGGCATGGTCCATGGGGTGCTCCCCCAGCAGAGCAGCAGGGTTCCTGCTGGCCCCAGAGCAGGGCTGGAGCTCAGTGCTGGTGGCTTTTAGGACTGCACCATCTGCCCGAGCTGAGGCAGGCTCCTGCCCTGGTTTGGGTCGTGCTGCTGGAATCCACGTCAGGGCTCAGCCTGACACAAGCTGCATAACTGGCTGCTGAGGATGCGCATCCCGGGCTTGCAGGGCAGCTCTGGTCCATGCTGAGGCTGGGGATGGAGGTGCCTCTGGGGCCGCAGGAGGACAAACATGAGCTCTCTCTTGAGCTGCCTGTGTTAAGCTGCACTTGTTTCAGCTGGAGAGGAAGGTGAAGCATGGGGGGAGCTGTGGCTGCTGCACAGGGAGCCTCATGCAATGCCCAGTTTCTTCAGTGCAGTGCAAACGTCCCGGAGATACAGGGCATCCGGATAACCATTCCTGTGGGGCAGAGAGGGAAGTGGTGTGAATCCTGCTGATGGTGCTAAAACCACCTTCCGGAACCTTCCTGTTCCTTCCAGTACAGGAAGAGGGGAGCGCAGTCTATTTTTGCCCCATGCATTCAGCGGGGCTGGGAGTGGAAGTCACAGCTTGCACCCAGGGCTGGCTGCAGAGACACGGGGAAAGGCAGGGGAACTGTGAGTGAATGGGGCCCGGAATTCCCATCCATAGGGAGCTTAAAGGTGTGGGATGGGCAAGGGCTTAGCTCCAGATGGAGGTGGCCAGAGCCTGCGAGCTGAAGCAGAGTCCCCAACTGCTGCTGTGGGAGCCTGGAAGAGCTGCTCACTGCAGGATGGGGTGAGCTGGAGCCCACGGTTCTCCCCCTTCAATTGCTGCTAGAAAACCCCACACCCGGAAACTTGGGATGAGCTGGGCCATACCTGGCTTTGCCTCCGTCCCAGGAGGTTTTGTGGGGGATAAGGCCCCATGTCACTCTTTCCTCGCCATTGCAGGACTTGATGTGAAACGTCAGCCCACAATCAAATGCCTTCTTCAGAAGCACTGCTGTCTTCTGCCCTTCCCTGTTGTCCGGCAGGAAGGCACAGAAATGCCCCCCTTTGTAAGGCTGGCCTGGGTGGGGGTCACCAACCTTGGAACAGGAAGAACACGTTTAAAACAACCACCTGAGTGCTGTGCCTCGGCGCTGGCCTCCCAGTGACCTGGAACTAAAGCAGAGCTTACAGCACGCTGCTCCCAAACCTGGAGCAGAGCCACCCTTCAGCACCTCTGCTGCCTTGCATGTGGGGCATGGAGCCCGAGCTGCCCTCCTCCCCCTGCCACACAGCCCCTCTCTCCCACCCCAGCCACACTGCACGTCCTGCACGCAGAACCCGTCACATAGAATCATAGAATAGTTTGGGTTGGAAAGGACCTTACGATCATCCAGTTCCAACCCCCTGCCACGGGCAGGGACAGCTCACACTAAACCATCTCACCGAAGGCTTCGTCCAACCTGGCCTTGAACACTGCCAGGGATGGAGCATTCACAACCTCCCTGGGCAACCCATTCCAGTGCCTCAGCACCCTCACAGGAAAGAATTCCTTCCTTAGATCCAATCTAAACTTCCCCTGTTTCAGTTTGAACCCGTTACCCCTTGTCCCATCACTACAGTCCCTAATGAAGAGTCCCTCCCCAGCATCCCTATAGCCCCCTTCCTGCAGCGGGCTGGGGAAGCCGCAGCAGCGGTACCTACCCCTTGCACGCCGTCAGGGATGATGTAGACAACCTGGAGCGTTGGGTCTCGGTAGTAGCCCGGCAGACTCTGAGACAAGGAGGAGATCTGGAACTTCCCCGGGATGCTGCAGCCCGGGGTAAGCGTGGAGACGCTGCAGCAGGGCGGCTGCGGGCTGTCCCCTGCGAAGCACGTCCTGCACAGCCAGTGCCCGCAGCGCGCCGCGCAGGTCACGGCTGCGCCATGGCAGGCATCGCAGCGGCCCGGAGCCATCCTGCTGCTTTCCTGCCCCGGGCTGGGGCCTCTCCCCTGCCCCTCCTGAGCACTGCTCCTGCCTGCAGGGAGCAGAGCCCTGTCTGGGGCCAGGCCTGCAGCCTCCATGGGCCTGCACAGGCGGGCGGGCAGGGAGTGAGGAGCCCCATCCACTGCAGGCACTGGGGAGCGCAGCCATCCCGTCGCCTCGCCATGGCCTCCTCTGCTCTTGGCTCTTGCAAACTGGAACCTGTCCGGCAAAACCTGCCTCAGCCGTGCCGGGTCCGGCTCCCCCACAGGCAGGTTGGTCTTCAGCTGCTCCTGGGGCTCGCTCAGACCGGTGGGACTGGAGTTATCCACCACAGCAGGGCTCAGAAGGTCGCCTCCCTCTTGCTCAGCCCCAGAATCAGCACAGTCATTGGCATCCTCCTGCCCCAGTGTGTGCTGGAGCCCCCAGAGGCTTGGGGACCTCTCAGCCGGGTTAACATCTGCAAGCTCTGCTGTAGCACTAATGGTCAGGTCCTGCAGGTCCATCTGTAGGGACTCGAGGCTACCAGGAAGGGCTGCACCCAGCAGCGTGTCCTGGCTCCTGCCTGGCTGGACAGCACTAGGACACCCTGTACTCTCTGCTCCTGGAGACTTCAGGGCAGGTTGCCTTCTGGAAGAAAACACTTGAAAGGCCTCAGTCACTCCTGGCAGCACCTCCTTGGGGCAGGCAAGGTACAGGTTGTACTTGTCTTTGCTGAACCCAACCTGGAAGGAGTTTCCTCGCAAGAGGCTGCATAGTTCACTGAGGGCGCTGTCATCCGGGCCATCCACAGCGAGCTCTGAGTAGCTCATACTCTGGCACACGAGGTCAGGACACTTCCTCACCAGAGCTTCCACTTTCCATTTGGCCTGGAAAAGCTTCTCCCTACCCTCTGCCTGTAGCGTGAGCACGGTGCAGTCGCCAGCGCGATGCTCCAAGAGCTGCACCTCCCCATCACTGCACAGCTCGGCCACAGCAGCGCGGTGAACGTCCTTCAGGTAAGACCACTGCAGGGAGTCCAGGCTCATCTCCTCACTCACCCTTGCAGCCTCCCTGCCTGCCCGGCCCGTGCCCTGCGGCTTCTCGCTTTCCTTTGATCTGGGCAGGGAGAAGCTGTTGGAACGTTGCAGGAGAGGCTTGGATTCAGAGGGTTTAGAGGTCCTTGTTGTGTCAAAGGCACTGGATGTGCCAGCAAGTGAGTGATGCTTGATGGGACCAGAGCCTTTAGAGTCTCTGTTGTCTTTGTCCCCAGAAGCAGACAGAGCCTTGTGTCTTGTAAGCCTCGCACCTCCTTTCATCTGCTCCCATTCTTTGGGGTCCTGCTGCTGAGACTCTGCTGCTGCCCCCAAATCCACACCTGCTGTAGAGGCACCAGGCTGGTACCGCTGGGTCAGTGCCATTGGGTCACTTGGCCGTAGAGCATCCGTTTGCAGTGGGTGTTTTCCAGAAGGCCCCACCGGTGGGGAGTCCTGAGACCTCTCAGCTTTCAGGGTGCTGAAGCTGGCAGGTGGTCTGAGCTCGCCTCTCAGCTTCGGCCTGCCTGGGATGAACCTTGAGGCTGAGGTGCCTGCGGGCTCCCTGGGCTTGGGCAGGGTATTCTCTGTGGTTGGCTGTGAGGGCAGGGAGCTGCTGACCGTGGCCTGTGCAGCGCCTCTTCTGGCACTGAAATCCTGAAGATACTGCTTGGCCTCGGACACATCGACGAGGTTTCCAATAAGGTAAAGCTGCTTCACATCCTCATGGCAGAGCAACTGGGGATACAGCTGCTGCAGCTCGTGTGTCAGCGCCCTGAGAGCCTGGCTGTCCATACCCAGTCCTCCCTTGGTGATCTTCTCCTTGCGCAAGCTCACCTCCAGCTGCTGGTAAAGCTTCTGCAGGGCCAAGCGGGCCTCTCGCAAGGCACCCATGTCCCCAGCCATCCCTGCAGCGGGTTGGAAGTAGAGCATGGCGATGCCATCGCTGCTGACATCCACCACATCCACACCATGCTGCTGCAGCACGCCCTGGTACTCGGCAGCACAGAACCTCTGCATGTACAAGTAAATGTCTGAGTCCATCACTAGGGAAAAGTCCTCCAGGTGCTCCACAGCTTTCCCATCCACAGGTCCCCAAGGCGATGGAGCTCTACCCGGTTCTTCACATGCCTGGTCCCAGTTCAGGACCTTTGCTGTGTCTTGTGCTGACTCAGCAGAGTCAGGCTCTTGCTGGGGATCAGGGATTCTGGTCTCTTTGGCCCCATGGCTGGAATCTGGCAGGAGGATCTCTCCAGTACCTTGGCTCTTGAGGTTCAGGCTGCCCAGCAGCTCTCTGTTGAAGGCCTGCAGCTCAGTGAATGGCCCCTTGACTATGCAGTGGGCATTCTTGGAGTCAAAGTTGAGCTGCACATTGCTGTAGCCTTTATACAAGTTCCTCAGGAGGGCTTTGCCAGTAGGAAGCTTGCCATAGTCAACTATCACGGAAGCATATAAGAAGATCTGCAAGTAGATAGCAAAGGAGTGAGAGAAGGATGAAAAATACCCCCCTCCAAGGCAAGGGGGAGGCAGATGCACCCAGCGCTTGCCACAGCCCCTGTGTTATTATGGCAGAAAGACGACGTGACCCAAACACCTCTCAGCATCCTGCTTTCGCAGGAGATGGGAGCCAGCACAGGCAGGACTGGGAGCCCCAGGGAGCCCAAGCAGCTCTTGGACCTTGCACACACGGTCAAAAGCTTTCTGCAAGCAGGGAACACAAGGGGGGAATAGCAGAGAGCTGCAGCTCCACGTCTGCCCCCTGAGAGCTCTGCACGCAGCTCACACCCCAGAACGCCATTGTCCCTCCTGTGTCTGCAACGCAGCTGCTCTCCCGCTCCCCCAGGGCTTCAGCTGCAGACTTTCAACACCACGGCCTTGCAGAAGGGTCTGCAGTGCCAGGCTAACTCCCATGCCCCTCTTGTCAGCGCTCAGACACGAAGACACAAGATGTGGCTGCTGCTGTGCTCGGCTGAAACCGCAGAAAGAGGAAGAGCTCCCCAGCGCCTCCTAACACCAGCCCGCCTCCAAAGCTGTGCTGAGCAGGACGCGGGAGCAACACACTGTGTGTGTCCAGCTAATGACACGCAAGGGCATTAATAGGATCCCCCAGTTGCCACCAGATGGGCTAGGGGAGAAGCGCCCCTTCCCTCCAGTCTGTTCTTCCTCACTTTGACAGACACAAACGCCATTGAGCGTGTGCCCGGCCTGTCCCACTGGCCCTGTGCCTCCAGCATGGAAAAGATTCCTCCTTTGACTAGGAATAAAAGTGGCTTTGCCTTAAGTCTCATTAAGGGTAAAGGAGAGCGCGAGGTCTCCCTTTCCCCAGCACAGGCCCAGCGGCAGCGGGGATGCCACGGCCACGTCTGCTCCGCGCTACCTCATCGGGGCTCAGCTCCGCGGCGTGCGCCGTCACTTCCAGCGGGTATTTGTCCCCTCCGATGGACAGGACGTGATTCTTTACCTTCAGGATCCTCTGGGCCACTGGGTGGGAAAAGCACCGGCATCAGCCCAGCCCCGCGCCGTGGGGCAGCAGCACCGCCCCTGCCCGGACCACACGGGGCAGGGGGGGTCCGGGAGCGGGCAGAGCCCACGGGCCGGTCCCTCGAGGGGCCGTTACCTTCCGGCGTCTCGAAGGTGACGAGGGCGCAAACCTGGCGCCCGTCCCTTAGCACCTGCACGTCGGCGATCTCGCCGCCGCCGTTGCGGGAGCGCAGGAAGTGGATGGTCAGCTTGTCGGCCACCCTGTCGGGGGGCAGCTCTGCGGGCAGGCCCCCGACCCGCACCGTGCGGCCCGCCATGCCCGCGCCGAGCCCCCGCACCGGCCGCCAGCCCCGGCGCCGGCTCCCCCCCCCCCTGCACCTCGGCGCTTGACCCCGGCCCCGCTCCGGCTCCGGCTCCGCCGGGAAACGAAAGCGAAACCTGCCCGGGTCCCGGCCCCGGCCCCGCCCCGAGCCCGCACCTCCCGCCCGGCCCCGCCGCTCCCTGCACACGGTTTAATCGCTGCTCCGCGTCCTCCGTGAACGCGGCCACCCCGTGGCTGCCCGCCGGGACGTAACCGACCGCGTCCACCTCCCCCCCGCCGCGGCTGGGCTTCTGGATGTCCAGGATGTCCCTCATGGGCTCCTCGCTCAGCACGTCCGGGATCCCCGAGAGCAGGACGGTCCGGGGACAGCGGGAGGGCTGGAGCTGGGCAGAGCAGGGTGAGGAGCGGGGCTTCAGGAACCCCCCGCTCTGCCTGGCCCTGGGCTGGCACCAGGGCTTGGGCTCTTACCTGCAGGTGTGAGGCCTCCCCACTCAGGCACGGGGATATTTTGAGCTCGTATGTTTGCTTCCCCAAGGGCACCTGGATGCGTCCTCTCTCAAGCAGCAGCTCTGCCACTGCCAGGGTGGGGAGGAAAGCCCTGGGTCACCCAAAGCCCCACTGAGCTCCTGGGGAGGTGACAGCCCTGGCACAGACACTGAGGCTGGCACTGCCCAGCCTCAGCTCGCCTGCACCAGCAGCCTCAGGAGGGACGGGAGAGCCGCAGCTCACTCTGCCCTCCCCGCTCCCCACAGACACAGTTCCATCTGCTCCCAGGACATGACCTGTGCTCAGCCCTTCTCCCCAACCCATCTCCGGATCCTTCCAGAACTTCTTCCTTTTGTCTTCCAGTATCTTGCTCAGCATCTGATACCTCTGCATCAGTGTGTTCTTCATCTCCCTTGCTAACAAAACACTGTCCTGCAAGGAAGGAAAGAGGAGGCAGCAAGGGAACCACCCAGACACGCATGCACAGCCCTGTGCTTGGACACAGCTCCACTTGCACTGATTTTCTGCTCTTGACTGCCTGCAGCCCTGCCCTGGCTCCTCACATTCGGTCACAGCCCTCCACTGCGTGGCACAGGCCTCATGTGATGCCCTGCGAAACCTCCACCGGGTCCAGAGCAAAGCAGTGTGCCCAGCGACACATCCCCTCCACCCAGCTGCCACCTTCCCAAGCCCGGGATGCTCTGCTCACCAACCTGGAGGCAGATCTCTTCTTCTCTCTTGAAATACTTTTGCTGCTTAAAGTTTTCATGCAGATGTTCCCTCTCTTTCCTCAGCCCTCGTGTCCTTTGCTCGACGGCTCCCGTGGCCGTTTGTAGGTTCACGCGGTCTTGCTCCAGCGCGCTGCAAAGCTCCTGTGAGAGGTTCCATCAGTGACACCCTGCAGCATCCCCCGGCTGTCCGGCCCCAGCACACGCTGCTTTTGGCAGCCCCAGCCCCGCCTCCCTTAACCCCCCCCCTTAACCCCCGACTCGCAGCCCGGAGGCACGGAGGAAACCCAAGCTCCCCGCACCTTGCAGCGCTCTATCTCCTGCCGGACGTGCTCGGCGGTGAGGCCCAAGGAGCCGGGGCCGGGGCCCGGGGGGCAAGGCAGCTGCACGAAGGAGTCCTAAAGGCAAGCGAGGTCTCAGGGGAGGGGGCCCGGGGCCCTGCGCCCAGCACCGCTCCGAGCCCCGTGGCTCAGCCTTCACCTCCTCCGATCCCATCCCCAGTTTCGCTTTCGCACCCGGCCCCGCCTTTCCTCTTCTTTCCGCTTCCCGCAGCAGCCCCGGGGGCTGCCTCTCCCCGTCCCCGTGCGGCAAACGGCACCCACGGAGCCAGCCCGAAACCGGACACCCACTGGCACATCACCGCATGGCATCGCCGAGACACAGACACCGGGAGCCCTCGGTCCCGCACCTGCATCCCGATTCACACCATTTTGGGCACTGGGGATTCCCAGCGGGGCAGAACATTCCTCGCCCCTGGGCAGAAGGGGAGAGCAGAGCTGCTCCAGAAGAGTCCCACACCCTCCACAGACACCCTAAAGGCTCCAAAGCTCTCCCCGACCCCAGAGCAGGATCTTCTATGATGGGGCTATGGAACTGATGGACAGGGGTAGAGCAGTTGATGTCATCTCCCTGGACTTGTGCAAAGCGTTCGACACTGTCTCACACGACATCCTTGTCTCTAAATTGGAGAGACATCAATTTGATGCATGGACCACTCGGTGGATAAAGAACTGGCTGGATGGCCGCACGCAAAGAGTTGTGGTCAATGGCTCAATGTCCGGCTGGAGACCAGTAACGAGTGGTGTCCCTCAGGGATCGGTGTTGGGACCGGTCTTTAACATCTTTGTCGCTGCCATGGACATGGGACAGTGGGATTGAGTGCACCCTCAGCAAGTTCACCGATGACACCAAGCTGTGTGGTTCAGTTGATACCCTGGAGGGAAGGAATGCCGTCCAGAGGGACCTTGACACGCTTGTGAGGTGGGCTGATGCCAACCTTATGGGGTTTAACCATGCCAAGTGCAAGGTCCTACACCTGGGTGGGAGCAATCCCAGGCACAGCTACAGGTTGGGCAGAGAAGAGATTCAGAGCAGCCCAAGGAGAAGGACTTGGGGGTGTTGGTTGATGAGAAAATGAACATGAGCTGGCTTCAGTGTGTGCTCGCAGCCCAGAAACCAACCGTACCCTGGGCTGCATCCAAAGCAGCGTGACCAGCAGGTCATGGAGGTGATCCTGCCCCTCTGCTCTGCTCTTGTGAGACCTCACCTGGAGCATTGTGTGCAGTTCTGGTGTCCTCAACATAAAAAGGACATGGAACTGCTGGAACAAGTCCAGAGGAGGCCACGGGGATGATCAGGGGCTGGAGCACCTCCTGTATGGAGACAGGCTGAGGAAGTTGGGGCTGTTCAGCCTGGAGAAGAGAAGGCTGTGTGGAGACCTCAGAGCAGCTTCCAGTATCTGAAGGGGGCTATAGGGATGCTGGGGAGGGACTCTTCATTAGGGACTGCAGTGATAGGACAAGGGGTAACGGGTTAAAACTTAAACAGGGGAAGTTTAAATTGGATATAAGGAAGCAGCTCTTTACTGTGAGGGTGGTGAGGCACTGGAATGGGTTGCCCAGGGAGGTTGTGAATGCTCCATCCCTGGCAGTGTTCAAGGCCAGGTTGGATGAAGCCTTGGGTGAGATGGTTAAGTGTGAGGTGTCCCTGCCCATGACAGGGGGTTGAAACTGCATGATCTTAATGTCCTTTCCAACCAGAACTATTCTATGATTGGCACCAGAGAGGACAAGGCCCAACACTATCACTTCTTTTATGCAACAAACCAAAATGGGGTTTAATAAACATTTATTGATGCAACCTGGTTACACCATTAGAATCGCAGCTTCTGGAAGAACCACTTGTTCTTGCCCGTCTTATACCTGAAACAGGAAGACACAGAGGTCAGAAAATGCTCCCATCCTGGCACCCAAGCAGTCCCTGGCACCCAAGGCTCCCCCAGGGGCAATGCAGCCCATGTCCTCCACCAGGCTGCAGCCAGAGCTCCTGTGCACATCCCAGCTCCCACGGGAAGAGGTCAGCTCCCAGCTTTGTTCTCATCCTCATGAAGGATGCCCACACTCTGGCAGGTCCCCCCTAAAAGACACGCGTGGCCGTGCCGCTCCTGCTGCTGAAGGAGCCTCTGAACAGAAACTGAGAAGCATCATCAACCCAAACGCCCCGGGCCAAGCCCTGGGACACCAGCACTTCGATGCCAAGACCATCACCTGAAGGCCCTGCTGGTGCTGGCACAAGGCTGCAGCACTGCCCCAAACACCAACGAGGTTTTCCCTGCCCCAGTGCAGCAGCTCCCAGGCAGACACCCCACAAGCTCATAGAGGAGAGAAGGACACCCTCAACCCAAAATGTATCCAAGGTAGCTGGGGCAGAAGTGTCCAGCCTGGGACTGGCCACGCCGAGCCCTCACCCTGGGGCTGGGTGGTGACACCATGAAGAGATGAACTTCCAACTCACCTTTCCTCAAACTTCACCTTGGCTTCACGTCTTGCTTTGCGCTTTAGAGCGGGGTCCCTGAACACATCCTTGTTGACCACTGTTTTGTCCAGTGGAATATCAACGGAATACCTGGATGAGAGAGCAGCAACGCTGGGAAAAGCCATGGCACTGGGCACAGACGTGAACACAGCCGAACCGGGCAGCGCAGGGACAAGAGCTGGGATGAGCAACCACAGCTCCTAAAGCCCCTCAGGTCAGTGAACCACCCGAGCACCCGGTAACGTGGAATTCAGGCTGGAACGCAGCGCTGTGTGCAGGGCAAGCAGCTCCAGCTGAGCTCCATGGGGATGGGAAGAAACACGTCCAGGCCATGCCAGCTCTGCCAGCAGCCCGCACCTCTGCAACTGCCTCAAAGGCACATCCACCAGCACCCATGACCAAGAGGGAAGTGAGTGAGGCTGAGGAAGGAACCGGCTGCTTTATTTTGGATGATCGCTAATACCTCCCCCCCTCAGCATCGCACCCCCAAACCCTGTCTCGGGCCCCACTTTTAATCCGGTCACATAACGAAAAGCCTCAACAGCTCCAGCGCTCATTGGAGGGAACGCAGGAGAAGAGCGACTGCGGGCAGCAGCCGAGGCTCCCCCAGCCCCGCGGCCGCACTCACCGGGTGGGCATCAGGTGGTTGTAGTTGTAAACCTTCACGAAGGACTTGATCTTGGACCTCTTCGCGATCTTCTTCTTGCCCATGGCGGCTGTCACCTTACGCGGGTAGCGGTCGATGCCCGCCACCAACGCGTGGCTGTAGGGCCGGTCCGAGGTGCCATCGTCGATGTTCTGCAATACACCGAGAGCAGCCGGCGATGGCACCGGGGACGCCTCCCGGACCACACCGCGGCAGCCCCGCGCTCACCTTCACGATAACGGCCTTGCGGCCCGAGTAGCGCCCGGCCAGCACCAGCACCACCTTCCCCGGCTTCATGAACTTGCCCATCTCTGCGGAGACACCGTGCGGGAGTCACGGCCGGGCCCGCACCGCCCCCGGCCCGCTCCGTGCCGCGGATGGCGGCGGATGCCGCGTCCGGGCCCGCACTTACCGGAGCTCCCGCAGCGATGGCGCCCAGGCCGGAAGAGAAAGCGGCGGCCGCCCCGCCCACCTTTCACCGTGCGTCACTTCCGCTTCCTTCAGGAACCGGTCGCGCTACCCACGCCGCCGTTGCCGGGCAACAGGCGGGGGCACCGGTCCCCGCTCCCCCCCTGCTCCGGTAACGGGGGGGGCATCACCGGTGACCACCCCAGCACCGAGTCCCCGCTCCCGCTGTTAACACCGCGGAGCCGGCGAGCCAGCACCCACCGCGCGACGGCTGGCGACGGATGCACAACACGGGCACCGGGTGCTCGCACACGGACACTTGCTAAAGCGGTTTAATGCACCCCTAGGAAACAGCGGGCCGCCGGTGTGTGCGCTAAAGCTTGGGGAAAAGGGGCTCAGGGAGGGCTGGGCAGAGAAACCGGGGGAGCCACAGGGCCCCCCCGGGCAGCTCTGCCCCGGTTTTCCCCCACGTTCACAGCAGGGAGGGCAAGCAACTGCCTCGGTCTGCGGGACAGACTTGTAGGGCAGCATTTAGAGCAGAGGCAGCACAGGGGCCAAGCTGCAGCTGCACAGGGCTCTGTGCCTGCCGCCAGCCCCACACACTGAACACACACCAGCAAAGGGGTTTTGCTCTTCAGGGCTGCATAAAAGGGGCAGGGTGAGGTGCAGTACAGCAGCAGCCGTGTAAACACGCAGATTTCCAGCATCGAGACACCATGAGATTTCCCTAAAAGCAAGTATCAATTTGAAAGAGCCGAACTCAGTCTTAAAAAAGCCAGGCTTTGAGCCCGGCAGCTGCCCTGCTTGTGGAAAAGGGATGATGTACAATAAAAATCCATCAAAAAGCGTCTTTGATGTTTTTCAGCTGCCGGACAGCCAGGTCTACTGGGAGGTTGAATTTCAAGTTGCTTAGGCGACTGAGAACGTTGAGCGCGCTCTCGAAGCCTGTGTTTGCCATGTAGCTCCACGGCTGGTAGTGGGCCTGTACCAGAGCTCCAGATTTGCAGATGAGATTGACCCAGGAGACCAGGCGCTGCTCGTTGAGCGCCATACACACCAGCGCCTTCAGCTCCGAGTCCGCGCTGCGCTTGAAGGGGTCATGCTCCGTGAGGACAGTGTGAATCGCTGTCAGCAGGCTCTGTTTGGGTGTCACAGCCATGCCTCCTGTCACAGGCAAGGCAAAGGACTGGGAGAGTTTGCGAGCCGGGGATTCCACAAAGGCTTGTCCGTTCTTCGTGTTGTAATACTTCACAAAGAGCTCCCAGGGGTGCATGCTCTGCGGCGAGGAGGTGAGCGCAGGAATCAAGCACGCGATGGGTGCTAATACCAGGCTCATTCCTTGGGAAGAGGCGTAGAGCCCATGAGCCATCAGGTCTCGCAAAGCGATGGTCAGCTCCTTCCGCACAGCCAGAGTCAGCTCGTCCCTGCCTCCCAAGGGAATGTCCTGCAGGTCGGAGGAACTGATAACGTGGTCTTCCTGCTGGTACTTCACTGCCAGCTGCCTCACCCGCTCTACCGACAGCTCCAGTTTCTTGATTAAGGGGGAATAGTCCTTGTTGTCTTGGTCCTTCTGCCAGAGGGTGCGAGGAATCTCACCCGTAGCACAACCAAACTGACTGACAGCAAATATCTGCAGCACAGCAAGCATGCGACGCATGAGGTGCAGGCCTGTTTCTCTCACCTTTCTGGCATCTTCTGGGTTCACTGATCAGGTTAGACAAGAGAAAAATAAACTTTATCATCAAGGAATCGACAGCTCTGCTCTTTCAGACACACAGAGGC